ATTGGAAACTGGCTACCATTCCATACTTACTGGGGCCAGATTTCGAATTTCTGAATTCCGCACAGTCTTCTTATAAAGGGTTACTTAAAAATACTAATCATTATTCATCTTGCACAGAAGCACCTTACCGAATGAAATTACGGTGTAGATGGTAGCGGCCAAAATCATGGTGTCGTAAAGTTAAATATGTTTTTGGTAAGTCCAATTCTCCCATTATAGCCCCACCAAGATCAATCCTTGACCCGCCATGACTTGGGAACTCGTGTTCACAAGTTTTCATAAAATATATTCTAGCATTTTTTTATGATTAGCAAGTGAAATTTGCCCTCTAGGTGAAGTTCCAGACAATTTCAAGATTTTGATCCGTCGATCTTACGGTCCCCTGTGATGGTTTTCCGTCATATCGTGGCGCGGGGGTAACTCTGGGTATCGAACTGCAAAGTACAGTGGAGGTTTATCCTTCAGCAGGGTCTCTCAAGCGGTAAAGCAGTTCGACGTTTCCGGCTACCAGGATGTCGAGCTAAGAGTAAGCCATGCCAAAAGCTCCACCTTCTGGCTGGTTAAGTCGCTATGTGGTTCCCTGACCCACACTGGCTAGCGACTGCCTTTACCGAAAGCTTGGCAAGCCCTAGCAAGGCTGCTAAGTTTGGGGATTTATTCTATTGCTTGTGCAGCATGTAGGAAGAAAAGAAGTCCTAAACACTGGTTCCCATCTCCGGCTTCGGATGTTAAAGACCAGTATCAGGTTGCACAGGACGCCACGGATTTCGGACCAAGAGGAACGTCAACTTCGCCATGTAAATTGTCTTAGGCTCTGCACCTATGACGCCAAGACAGACTCCACCAACGCCAATCTTCACGCCCTTCTCGAAGCTACAGGGCGCATCAACTGTACGTGATCGCCTTGCAGGAAACAAAGCCAGGAAGACGGAGGTGGAGCAGCTGAGTGATGGCACACTCATAATTCGTGGTGAGAAAGTTCCATCACGCGTTGGAGGCGTTCGTTTTTCGTACACCCATTTGTTGTCCTTCTTGTCGATTCGCATGAGATCCTATTACCTCACCTGGCTATCCTTCGACTCCTCCTCTATTAACTGCTATTCTCCAACAGCAGCAGTTGATTCGGAACTTGATGCTTTTCATGGGGACTTAGAGGAAGTCCTCACAAAATTGTGGTAGGTGACTTCAATGCGACAAGATGTCGGAAGAAAGGGAGCATAAGATTGGGAGATTTGGATCAGGACTCCGGATTGAGAAGTAACCGTCTTGTTGCTTTCATGGTAACTTCATCTTCAGAAAAAATAGCGGCGGTGGACATGGGAGTCACCGGTACGAATCATGCGGTGATCGACCACATTCTCACTAGCCGAAGGTGGTGCTTACTGCACGTCTCAGTGGTAACATCTTTCAAGGTTCAGATCACCACCTTCTCCGAGCAAAAGCGCGATTCACCTCGAAGCTGGGAAAGAAGATCTCTCAAAGGTTAAAGGAAGGAGAGAAGTCGTATATGACGGCATCAGATTAGAGGAGCTCCTGACCACTTACTTTCCCATCAAGGAGGACCCAAAGAAGGACTACCTGCTTTTTACAGGACTGCGGATCTGTAGTGATAGTGCCTCAGTGCCTCGAGCAAGGAACTTGTAAAGAATTTCGAAAGTCATCAAGGATCTGCTAGCGAGGAGAAAATCGTTGAGGTTGGAACCGACTGCATCTCTCAAGCGACTGGTAGCCAATACTAGTTGCAGAACAGCTTTGCAAGAAGATCTTCGAAAGTACAGGCAATCGAA